TATATATATATATATAAACATATATATATATATGCCTTTATGCTTTGATTTGTCTCACTGCGCTTTATATTGTTCAAATTATGGTTATATTGCTGTTTTAGTTTCACTTTAATGCTTATGCTTTAACTTTTTGAAAAATATTAAAAGATGTGACTTTAAGATTGCCATGTAAAAAACCTGTTTTTCTTATACTAAGAAAAGCTGGCACTTGAGTCACATGACCCACGCACGCTTTTGCTAATGCATACTTGATTGGGGTGGGTTGTTGACGCTGATGAGCAAGGTTAAGAGGAATAGCCTGTTTTGACATGGGTGGTTCAAAATTGCGTCTTAGTCATGTACAGTACAGTGCCTCCTTAGGGTAGTTACAGAGTGTAACTCATTCTATTTGTAACAGTCACGTGTAAAAACAAGTGTATTTGACTTGTAATTTACATTTCTCTGTAGGACCATGGCTTGGACCAGACAGAGCAGTTTCTTCCAGCATCAGATGCAAAAAAGTTGCAGAAGAAGAGGGTATCGTTCAGGGCCATCGTGGCAATAGGTCTACCCACAGCACTGGCGATCATTGCATTAGTAACTGGACTGTTAGTGTGGCATTTCCATTGTGAGTTATTTAACTCATAAACAAACAAACACACTATTATTATCACCAGTAAACAGTACATTTGAATGATTATGATAAAACAATAACTCCAGCGTGTCCATTATTACAGACAGGTATAATGGGAGGGTGAGGAAGATGTTCAGTGGTTATTTGACCATCTCCAGTCAAACGTTCTCAGATGCTTATGAAAATAGTAACACCGCTGAATATAAAGAACTGGCTTCAAAGGTCTCAAGGCAGGTGAGGTGGTCATGTTTCTTTGTAATGTTTTCAGTTATTTTTTATTTTCTTTATGTTAAAACTTTGCTTCATTGTACGTTGTCTTTCAGCTCAAAGGTATATATGGTCAAGTGCGCTTGCTGTCAAAGTACCATGTGGCGTCCAGTGTGCAAGGTTTCAGGTAATTGAAATAATTGAAATAATTCTACCATTCATGGGAGAAAATTATGGGTAGTTGACATGAAAGGTCAATCAGAAAAGCCTTTATTTCTAATTTTTGTGTTATTAAAGATGCATTTGACCTTGTATGACCTCATATTAACTGACAGACTGCATGAAGTATTTGGGCTTTAGAAAACGCATTGCAGGACTATTTAAGTGGTGATGTACATAAAAGTCAAGCCAAGCTCTTAATTGTCATTACATAAGTAACCAAATTATTTTTCTTTTCACTGGTTGATGCAGAATATTAAAATTAAAAATGTAAATAGAGAAATAAAAATAAGATTGAAAAATATATAAAGAATTTAAAACTCCTATAAGACGTAAGAATCAGACTTACAAGTAGAAGTGTACGTGTAAAGATTCATTTTAAATTTGAATTTCATTGTTGAAAATAAAATGTAGACAATTTTTTGTCTGCCAACCTTGAATAGTTCACCCCAATCTATTAGAGCATCACAGAATATGCCAGACTCATTTTACACTGTGAATCTCATTGATGTTATTTTTTCCCTTTAGTGAGGGCAGTAATAACGGTATCATCGCTTATTACCTGTCTGAGTTTAATGTGCCGGAGTCCCAAGTATCTGCTGTGGACGAGGCCATGGCATCCATGGATGGGGGGGAAAATGCAAGGAAAAGCCGGAGGGGGTTTGGTCGCAGGACTGACAATAGCCTCATCATTGACGGCATGACGTCAGGAGGTAGATCTACTGGAAGAGAGTTTTAGATTACTTGCATAGTCACCTCTTGTAATCTAACTTCACATTTCATTTTAGTCTAGCACTATTCAGTCTGATGGTTAACAGTTGAAATTCAGATATATTTTGGTGTGCATTACAGCTGTGGATGCTCGGTTAGCTGGCAGAAACCTCAAACGTGAGTTAACAGTACTTTCTTTACATTTAGCTGTTTATTCATGTTTATATCGTACTCATATTCAACTTGTTCTGTCTTTCAGGGTCCAGTAAGAGGTCTCATCATGCTCATGGGAACCAGACAGACATTATCCGGTCTCCAGGTTTTCCCGATTCCGCCTACCTTCCCAACCTTTACACCGAGTGGCAGATTCGGGCCGACCCAGAGCACAGGATCAGACTGGAGTTTGACGTCCTAGACTTGGAGAAAGATTGCCGTAATGATTTCATCAAAGTGTACGACTCATTAGCACCATCAGAGAAGCAAGTCATAGCGGAGTAAGTGTTTATACACTTCATGAAACAGTACCACATGTGTGAGCTGTATCACGTGACACATGTCTGTTTTCATTGTCTTTTTCGATATGTGGAATCTTAACAAATGTGTTCATGCAGGAAATGCGGATATCGTTTACCTGATGAGAAGCTCATTTTCATCTCCTCTGGGAATGTCATGCTGGTTACACTGGTTACAAATGAGGAGAAAAACTTCCCAGGTTTCAGGGCATTTTATTCTCAGATTCCAGCCAAAATTCAAGGTAGAGTTTAATATTGAGATATAATAAACTCATTAGGGTCCAAAGTTCACTTTTTGACAGACTTTGCCAGTCATACACGGATATTTCTTACTTGCCACGAAACTGTATTTTTTTTATTTAAAGAAAAGGCTTATGAAAATGGTATAAAATTTTTAAAAAAAAATGTTTTTAAAGAAATCTTATACTAACCAAAGCTGCATTTATTTGTAATATTATGAATTATTATTACAGTTTAAAATTACTTATTATAATATCATAAATACTATTATTTTCATAACTTGTTTTAATATTTTTTCAAGTGCAGTTTATTCCTGTGATGGGAAAGCTGAATTATCAGCAGCCATTATTCCAGACTTCAATGTCACATGATGTCACAAGAGACATTTATTATTCTCATCAATGTTTAAAACAGATGTGCTGCTTAATTTTTTTTTTGTAACTGTGATGCTTTTTTTTATCAGGATTCTTTGATGAATAGAAAGTTCAAATGAACAGCATTTATTTATTTGAAATAGAAATCTTAATAGAAACATTTGAAATGTTTTTACTGCCATTTTAGATCAATTTAGTGCATCCTTGCTGAATAAAAGAACAAATTTCCTTCCAAAAAAAAAAAAGAAGTGTTGTATTGCAGTTCTTTATAAAATTACCAGCCACTTAGCGAGTAACTTGCCAAAGCTTATTCTAGTGAGCATTAATTCTGGATCCTGCTTTCCTGTGTGTTAAATCAAGCAGTCTAAGCCCAATATTTGTGTTAACAATGTCTTGTCCCATTCTATAGACTGTGGAGGGAGACTGATGGGGCTTCGTGGTACCTTCACATCACCTGGCTATCCCTCCCATTACCCACCTCAGACTGACTGTGTCTGGAACATTGAGGTAAAAATGATTTACCCTCAGTGTCATTTAACATCTCCTTCAACATTGATCTGTTCCTAACATTCAATAATGTAAGTTCTTAAATGTTCTGTCTGACAGGTTCCATCAGGAAAGCATATCAAGGTGAAGTTTGACAAGCTGTCTATACATAGCCCTGAACAAAACCCCATCAGCTGTCCAGCAGACTACTTGGAGATAAACTACAGGTCAGATAAAAGTGTCAAAAGAGTAATCATCATACTTATACTTGAGTAGATATTACAAACTATGAAATATAAAGAAATATATCATTTATACACCACTATTGAAGAGCATTAAATTAATCAAAGTGACAGTAAAAACATATTATGTAACAAAGGTTTTCTATTTCAAAGAAATTATGTGCTTTTGAACTTTCTATTCATCAAAGAATCCTAAAAAAAAGTGTATCACGGTTTCACAAAAATATTAAGCTGCACAACTGTATATATTGTTTTATTATTAACACAAAATAATAATAAAAAATATTACTTAAGCATCAAATGAGCATATTAGAATGATTTCTGAAGGATTATGTGAAGACTGGAGTAATGGCTGCTGAAAATTCAGGAATAAATTAAGTTTTAAAATATATTCAAATTCTGTAATATTTCACAATAATACAGTTTTTACTGTATCAAATGCAGCCTTGGAGAGTATAAGAGACTTCTTTCAAAAACATTAAAAAAAATCTTACTGACCCCAAACTTTTGAATAGTAGTGTATATTCTCTAAATATAGACTATAACTGTCATTTGTTCTTTTATAACTTGATTTAGGATATGTGGGGAGAAGCCACCCAAAACTGTGTACACAATCAAATCAAACCAAACAACAGTCAGATTTCATTCTGACCTGTCTTACGTGAGCGAGGGCTTTTCTGCCGAATTTGAGGCCTTTGAACCCACTAATCGTGAGTAGAATCATATTATTTTTCCTGCTGATATTAAAACGCAATGTTCAAAGCCAGTACACCGTGACAAACATATCTAAAATCACTTTTCCACAGCCTGCCCTGGGAGATTCCAGTGTGACAATGATCTGTGTGTGTCTCCTAACCTGGAATGTGATGGCTACAATGACTGTGGAGATATGAGTGATGAGAGGGGCTGCAGTAAGTTCATACCATATTACTTGTGCTTAGTCTTTGGACAGTTGTTTTCTCGAGTGTCATTTGGTGCTGCATTACTTTCTTTACCCATGCATGCAGCATGTAATGAGACTCAAATAAAATGCAAGAACGGCTTCTGCAAGCCCAGTTTCTGGCGCTGTGATGGGGTGAACGATTGCGGAGATAACACTGATGAGGAAAACTGTGGTGAGGATGAAACCAGCACTCAAAATCATGAACAATGGAGCAAAAGTGATGGAAACGATTTCAGGTTGTTTGTCCGATTTTGTCTGTAGGGAACTGCAAAGCTCAAGAGTTTAGATGTCGAAACAGCCGCTGCATCCCAGCACATAAGCAGTGTAATGGCTACAACGACTGTGGCGATGGCTCAGATGAATCTCAGTGTGAGAAATGTGAGAACTTTCAGTCAATAAATACAAAGTTTGACTGTTTTTTCAATACTTGGCCTTATTTTGACCTCAAAAGTTTATATAGTAAATTCTATAATTATTATTAATGTATACCTCTATTGTTTATTGTGACCCTGGACCACAAAACCAGTCTTAAGTCGCTTGGGTATATCTTTAGCAATAGCCAAAAAAACATTGTATGGGACAAAATTATCGATTTTTCTTTTATACCAAAAATCATTAGGATATTAAGTAAAGATCATTTCTTTTATGCCAAAAATCATTAGGATATTAAGTAAAGATCATGTTCCATGAAGATATTTTGTAAATTTCCTACCGTAAATATATCAAAACTTAATTTTTGATTAGTAATATGCATTGCTAAGAACTTCATTTGGACAACTTTAAAGGCGATTTTCTCAGTATTTTGATTTTTTTGCACCGTCAGATTCCAGATTTTCAAATAGTTGTATCTCGGCCAAATATTGTCCTATAAGACCATACATCAACGGAAAGCTTATTTATTCAGCTTTCAGATGATGTATACAACTCAATTTAAAAAAATTGACCCTTATGACTGGTTTTGTGGTCCAGGGTCACATATATAGTTTCACAGTTACTGTAGTTACTTACCAGCACTAAAATTTAACTTGGAGGTTGATAAATATCCCTGCTGTCAACATAAGCACACACTATATTAAGTGACTCAGTTGCCTCTTTTATATCCAGCCATAGCTGTTCACTGCTCTGATCTCACCTATAAGTGCAAGAATAACCAGTGCATTAGCAAGCTGAACCCGATGTGTGATGGAGAGATTGACTGTGCGGATGGTTCGGATGAAGCTGAATGTAGTAAGTCCAGAATTTCTCTGTCTTTCCTCATATATGTTTTTCAGTTATGTTTCAAACTGTGTTTCATGTTCGATTCAATGTAGAATGCGGGACGAAGCCCTACAAGTCCAGTCGTATTGTCGGTGGAAAGGACTCGAGTGAGGGAGAATGGCCCTGGCAGGTCAGCCTCCACATGAATACACAAGGTCATGTGTGCGGTGCGTCTGTTATCAGTAACCGCTGGCTGGTCACTGCTGCTCACTGCGTGCAGGACAGTGAAAAGTTCAAGTGAGTTCTTATGTTGTTTGGCCCTCTCCTCCCCTCCTGCTCTGATCCTGACTGAATGTTTGTTCTTTTGCTAGATATTCCCAGCCTGACCAGTGGGAAGTCTATCTAGGTCTACTTAACCAGGGTGAGACTAGTAAGTCCACCCTAAAACGCGTGAAGCGCATCATTTCTCACCCTCAGTATGATCACTTGAGCGACGACAATGACATCGCGCTGATGGAGTTGGACAGCCCTGTAACTCTCAGCCAGAACATCTGGCCCGTCTGCTTACCTGAAGCCACACATGACTTCCCAGCAGGCAAATCTGTCTGGATCACTGGCTGGGGCAAACAGAGAGAGGAAGTTGGTAAGTCATGTAACAACCTACGCTACCATTCGAAAGTTTCAAATGTTAATGTTTTAATGTTTTTGAAAGTCTTCATTTATTTGATCAAAAATACAGTAAAAACAGTAATATTGTAAAATGTTATTACAATTTAAAATAACTATTTTCTATTTTAATATATTTCAAAATGACTTATTCCTGTGCTGAAAGCTGAATTTTCAGCAGTCATTACTCCAGTCTTCAGTGTCACATGATCCTTCAGAAATCATTCTAATAGTTTAACAGTGTAATGTTTTGCTTAATGTTTTTGTTGAAACCGTGATGCATTTTTACAGGATTCTTTGATTAATAGAAAGCTCAAAAGTACAGCATTTATTTAAAATAGAAATATTTTGTAACATTATAAATGACTTTAGAAGAAGAAGAAGAAGAAGACACTCTCCAGCCCTAAATCCATTAAAAAAATAATATTTGGTTCCACTTTATATTAGGTGGCCTTAACTACTATCTACTTACATCAAAATAAGTACAATGTACATATTGTGTTCATATTGTATTGCAAAACACTTTTGCTGCTATTGAGGTGGGATACGGGTACGTTTAGGGACAGGTTTGGTGGTATGGGTAGGTTTAAGTGTGGGTTAAGGTGTAAGGTATGGGTCAACAGTGTAATTATAAATGTAATTACAGAAATTAATTACAGATGTAATTGCATGCAGGTATTTTTAAATATATATAATTATAATTTAAAAACTTGTATGTGCACAATAAGTGCATTGTATCATGATTAATTAAAATGTAAGTACATAGTAGTTAAGGCCACATAATATAAAGTTGGACCTAATATTTAAAAAAAAAAAAAAAAAATTTAAAATCATGTACACTCATTATGAAATGAAAATCCAGCCATATCAGTTGTCTGATAAAAATAAAAGTGAGTAACCAAAACATGAGTTCAACACAACTGCTAGACTGGCCAGTGCAATTTGTTTTGCAGCTTTATGCATAAACCCTCTAGAGAAACTCAAATTTAATCAAGTGTGTCTAAACTCTTGACTGGTATTGTGTAAGTAAGTACACAATAAGACATGAGCTGCTTTGTCCAAACCAGATAATGAGAGACAGTACTTAAAACCTCAGGTTTGCAGTGAATATCTCTGAGTACAAATTCTGATATAATAACCTAAAATTGTTAGTAAGCTAATTAAATGTCTTCCCTCTGCTTTAGACGCCATTGCATCAGTGTTGCAGAAGGCCGAGGTGCGCATTATTAACAACACTGTGTGCAACAAGCTGATGGATGATGGGATAACACCACGCATGATCTGTGCAGGTGTATTGAGTGGAGGCGTAGACGCTTGTCAGGTGAAATGAAAGATCTTCTGTTTTTTTCACATTCAGATACATGTCATAGCCTTACATTTGTCAGTAATGCACATTTATTCCTCATTCCTCTGCCAGGGTGACTCAGGTGGTCCAATGACTTCCACTGAGAGCAGTGGCCGCATGTTTCTTGCTGGCGTGGTGAGTTGGGGAGATGGCTGCGGTCGCAGGAACAGGCCCGGCGTTTACACACGCGTCACAGAATACCGCAGCTGGATCAGGGAGATGACAGGGGTATAATGTCACAACAGTGACACGAAATGGACTAAAGCAAACAGTATCAACCTGTATTGAGAGTTATTGAAAATAATTAAGGCATTCATGTTCATTGAGTTTTATTTCAGAAGCCATAAAGATTACTATAATCAGGCCAAATGTCCACTAAAATGTTCTTTGACTTTTATTTTCCATGAATATAATAATGAGCTTACATAGTTTCTTTATCTATTCTTTATGTGTTTCTCTTTGTAATTACTCTCTTAGTTTCGTCTATGTGTACTATGCTGTTTTTGAGCTCAAATGTTGCTCTTGCTGTGGAGGAAAAGTATTCGTGCTGCCTTGCTTAAGTCATTACAATTTGAGTGGTTCTCAGGGATTTTTAAAATGTAATTGTTGGCATAATGTGTTAATTGTCTGTTTTATTTTTATTACTTTATAGTTTAATTACCTTTCATACCAAACAGACTTCATGATCAGATCTGTGCACAAATGTATTTTATGACTAAGTAATAGGAAACAATTTTAGAGTTTTCATTTATTCTGGGCAGTTGATGCCTTGCTTGAATGGCATTTTAATTTTAAATATATGCTGATAAAAATATAGAATATCTGCAATGTGTGGGTGTGTGTGTATAGATAAAACATTTGTGTTCTTACTCCTTACATTACTCCTTACCATTGGAATTTTGAAACTTAAAATATGAAAATGTCAGCATTTTTTGTTGAAACAATTGGCAATTTTTTTGAATTTTTTTTGTTCCGTTTTGTTTACACAGTGATCTTTATTTTGGTGTTATGTGTATCTGTGATCTTTTGTTATAATATTTTTTTTATTTTTATTTTTGTTAATGCCCTCCTTGGGGGATTGGCGTTCCCGTAATGTGCCTTGAAGCTTCAGTGGATTCTTTGTTAAACATTAAAAGGGAAATTCCAATCTGCTTAATAGTGCATAATTGCTGAACAAGTCCATAATTGGCTGTGAACATTTTCACAGAAATTTGGATGAAAATGTTTCTTTTCGAAATGGTCATTCACATTGTGTATACATGCTTATGGGAAACTCCTGTTTAGTCTGAATGCTGAAGCCTGATTTGTTAACATTCGTGTAGCTGCACCAACTAATGGGATTTCAGCCCACCAAAACGGGCAGAGCTGACCGCCTATATAAGTTGGCGTAGAATACTGATTTCATCAGAATTTTCTTCTTCAGTGCGAAGATCATCTCCTCATTGGACTCTAAAGAAGAAGAAGAATGAAGAAGCCTGCTTACTTGCCATAGAAGAGCCTCGGCAGCGGAAAGATGTTCTTCAGTGCTTCTCCTCTGCGGCCATCAAGCGTGCCCGAGCAAATTACCGCTGTGATAGCGGTCCCACCTACTCATAAGAGCATTTCTCCTCTTCACGACAGCACTCAGACCACTTGCCGCCTGGCTCCAGGCTTGGAAAACTTTTACAGCCGTCAGCCACTACTTCCTCGTTCCAAAGAAAGATGGTGGGTTCAGGCCCATCCTTGATCCCAGACACATGAACTGTGCCCTAATGAGATGTCCGTCCAGGCTCTTGGAGTTTATGTAGAGCGCTCTAGCCACTTTTGGCAATTAGAGCAGCTCTTTGTATGCTTCGTAGACCGCGCTAAAGGGCTGCCAATTATGAAGCAGAGACTTACGCCTCAGTGGACTTAGTGTCCTATTGGAGGGCCCACTTCACCAGAGGAATGGCCTTCTCCTGGGCTTGGTCCAGCGGAGTCTCGATCGGAGATCTGTGAGGCAGCCAGCTGGTCTTCACTGCCTACCTTCACTAGGTTTTATAACCTGGACGTCCCTGCTCTTCAGGCACAGATCTTGTGTACCTAATCACCCTAATCCCCTATGTGAGTGGAAAGGGTCTTCGTTGACATTGACCCCGGCCTTGTGACCATGGTCTCGTTATTTCCGGGCCTATTGTGCCCTTATTGGCTCATGCTTTTTAGGGGCCCTTTAATATAGGTGCCCCAGGGCTGAATGGAAGTTATACCTACAGCCCTTGTGCGGAGCTAGCTAACATATTCATTCCTAATTTCCACCAACACTAGTTATGTTTTTTTTTTTAATCTGATACCAGATCAGTTTTATGCATTTGTAGACATTTTAAATGAGACATTTGTGTAATTAAAAGAGTAAAAAGAGTAGTATTTAATAGTCTCTTACTGACCTGTTTAGACAAGCCCTCTATAAAACAAACAAAACAAGCAAATTAATAAAAGAACACATTTTCATGCTATAGCCTAATGTATACATTTCATGTTATACATTTTAATATTTAATGGTATTTGATGATTTATTAATTGCATTTAATATGTACTTACTATATATATATACTATATATACTACTTACAATAAAATATTTGCAATTTTGTAAAATATTTGCAAAAAAATGTATGCACGTTTTGGTAAAAAAAAAAAATCGTCTTTTTGTTGTAATAACCCAGTTTTGACCAGCAGGCGTCACCAGCGTGTGGCGTACAGATGGATGTAACACATTTTGTAACTCACATTTATTAATATTAATCAGGAGGCCAGAAGCATTTGAAAAGGACTGTAGGATGTTTAAAGCAATTGGGATCTGAAAGGCATCCTTTGGAACAATGCTGTATCATCTAGCAGTTGTTCATCTAATTATCAATTCTGTCCTGGCAATACCCTTAACAAAACTGTCTTTAATACAGTATATACATTTAAAAATGGTTTAGCTGTTAGAAAAGGGTGGTGAGATGGGGCAAGCTTGTCTGACACCACGCTTTAAAGCAAATATAGGAGAAATGCCATTACTGAGCTGGACAGAGCACATCTGCAAAAGAAATCAACAAAAACCTGTCAAGGGCCTGTAAAATAAATGAATGTTCGAAGCATTAAAAAAATCCAGATTGGCATCTTTGCTAAGACGAAGGCAATGGTTTTAGAGTCAGTGTTCAATAACTAAATTGGGTGCTAGTTATCTATTAAAAGGGGATATTTATTGAGCTTAGGAATTAATGTTATTAGTCATTGACAAAGAAGGAGAAATACTCTCTTTACCCAACACTTTATAAACAGTTTATGTAAGAAAGGTCTTTCGTTTAAAGCTTTGTAGAGCTCAGCAGGGATTTGTTACTTTTTAGATTATTTATTGAATAAATTATTTCTGAAAGACTAATAGGTGCCTCGCATAGGCTACAATTTCTTTACTAATTTGTTTTATGTACGATAAATAATTTTTAAAAAAATTGTACCGGATTGCTATTAGAATTTAGAGGAATACAGATCATTATATAAAACTTAGCACAAAAATGTGCAAAATGACAGTTACATTCCCATCAATATAGCTGTTGAATAGAGTTTCTAACTTGCTGTCTCTCCAGCCTGAAGAAATAGGCAGAGTCCTGTTCACTCCCTCCTCTAGCCATTTCCTACAAGTTCTAAGGCATATTCAGCCTTTCATTTATATATATCCTTTAAATTATATTACTGATCAATAAGCTTAATTCTGTCTGTTAATTCTTAATTCTTAGTCTGAAAGATCCTCCATAATTTTGTGTGACAACATAATGATTCTAGCCATAATCTTTCTTCATTATTTTTTATTATTTTCACTAAGGTACTACAAAATTTTCAACAATGCTTCCCAATTTCATATTTAAGAAGTTCCCAATTATTACTATCCTTCTGTAACGGGGCGAACGAGACGAGAGACGTGCGGATCCATTTTCAAGGCTTTATTTAAAGACACGGTCAACACAGGCAAGAGTCGGACAATGGCAGACAGGTATATAGAGGGCAAGACTGAAAAGTAATCCGAAACACAGGCGATGGTCCAGGCGAGGGGTAAACAGTATCCGAACAGGGCGAGACGAGAGGGGTAATCCAAGACAGGCGATATACTTCAGGGCAGGCAGAGATCAGACAAAATGAGATACACAGGCTAGGATCAAGACACGAATGACTAAGGCAATAAACAGGATTAAACTAGACTTTGACTCAGAAAACTCGGAATGGCTCCGTAATGTAGCTATCACTTGGAGAGCAATAAACGCTAGACAATACTCAGCGATTAGAGAAGGATTTGAGTGGTTGTTATATAGTGTGTGTGTGATTGGCTGCAGGTGCAACAGTTGTGTGGTGTGAGATTCAATGTAATCAGAAGGCGACCTCTGGTGGCGAGCAGGCGGAAGACCACGGACTGGATTCGTGACCCCTCTTTATTTGCTTTATCACAGTAAAAGGAGATTAAGTTGTCAATTTCAGCATCTATCTAAGGTATTATTCAAAACTACATTAAAAATTAAGAATTTGGACATTTAGACAGCATATAAAGTATATGTGTTTCAGGTTGATCAATAAATGATATTTTTGTGAATTAAACCCATAAACATTGGCAATAATACATGTTGAATTTGCAAACTATGATGTAATGAACATGAATATAAATTTTGTTAAAGCATTTAAGATTCAACAAATCAGCTTTGTGTTTAAGAATGTTTTGTAACCCCCTACAGTTTAAGGTTTAACCCTCTTGTTTAACAGACAGAGAGACATAAATATAAAAAGAAATTGTTTATAAGAGTCTATAACAGAGGGAAAAGAACTAGGCTTAAGAATGAGTATAGAAATTGAATAGGAGCTAACATATTCATTCCTAATTTCCACCAACACTTAGAATAGGAGAATAGGAGATGAGAACAACAATCCTTTCATATAGAGAATCAAAATATATGTTGTAGTATAACAGCAATTAACTTTATGAAAACAATTTAGAGTTTAAATAATCTACATAGCATAATTCACATGTTTTATAGAATAATGACCTCAAAAGACAAGGTTTCTGTATTGAATAATATCTCATATATTATTTTTAACCCACTGCATGCATTTACACTACACTGCAGTAAATTTTCCCTTATGCAGCCGTTTTGTTATAAGTGTATATAAAACTACGAATGCATTATCTTAGGACTTAATATATTCCCTTCTCTCTCCTTCTGCATTATCTTACCATTTAGGACTTACTATATTCTCTTCTCTCTCTTTCTGTAACTTTCTTTTTCTCTGTATTGAAACCAAGAATTAAAACAGGTGCCATGAAAATAGGCCATGTATTTAATATTACCAGCAAAGTCAATAACAAATATATTTTTGGGTTCCAAAGATGAGTCTACTATGTAGCCTTATACAAAATTATTTTAATTATGTAAAATGAAAATGAAAATTAGATTAGATTATGAAAATGAAATTGGATTAGATTTAAATGAAAATGAGTATTTTCCATCAGGTTGTCTTTCAGTATTTTTCCTCCACCTCTACCAAACAATGTCCTGTCCTACCTGCAGTTCCTTGATAATATACTATGAATGTATGAATAAATATTCATACAATAATCTGGTGTTAATGATTGGGGCAAGCAGTTTTAAAAAGTAGGGTGAATGTTTTGATGTTGTAATAAAACGGTTCTCAAATGACCCCTTGAGTTTGAGTTGCTCTCTGGACCCAAGATCAAATTATTGTGGTGTTTAACCCTAAAAGTATTTCCCTAACAATTCTGCTGTTTTCTACAACTATATTTTGATGAAAAATAGCAGTTGGATATTTGAAGATGACCATAATTGTTTTGTTGCTTTTTTTTGTGATTATTACAAATACAATTATATACTGATAATCAGTAATTATTTTGTTGTGTGTGCCGGGAAATAGATTTTCTTTATTTGACTTGAGGTTAAACATTGACCACTGAACGTAAGTAAAATCCTCTTGCTAACCCCACTATAAAAATGCTACCCTGTCCATTTGCCTCTGTGTTTTTTATCTCAGCTGAAGACTTGGAATAAACAGCATGGAGTGTAAGCAGCGGTTGAATTGGTTAATACTTGCACTGATATGTCCTCTTACTGCAGGTACTGTAGGTCTTTTTGCTTAATATAAATGCTTTCTAAAATTTAGAGAAATTTAGTTCTCCTCCAAAGGATCTGGTTGTTTCCACTATAGGTGCTCCTTCCTCCATGTTCAAAAGAGACAGTTCATGTCCCAAAGAGAACTTAAACATTACTGGAGGGACCTTTGTTCTTTCTAAAGGCTATTCACATGGGAGTCTTCTAAGATACATCTGTCCGAATGGATATTACCCATCGGTTCAGTCACGTCTTTCTCAAGATGGACACTGGACTTCAATGACCACAATCAGAAAAACCCCAGAGTGCGAAAGTAAGAAACAAGGCATTATTTTGTGTCAAGATATTAAGAATAAATGCTGTACTTATTTATTTTTGCTATACTCTTCTACAGTATGCGTTTATTCATGCATTTATCCTAGAGATCACATGTCGCAGTCCTCGGGTTTTCGAGAATGGAGAGGTGATTCCATATAAAGACATATACTATGTAAATGACACAACCACCTACTCATGTCATTCCGATTATACGTTCCGTGGCTCAGCGGTCCGTGTTTGCAAGCCTAATGGGAAGTGGAGTGGAAGCACACCAGTTTGTGGACTTGACTGTGAGTAATCGCTATCAATTTTTAAATATGTAAGCAGTGCACACAGAAGTTTCCATGAACTAGTCTGACTTAAAGAGAAATTTAATTCCTGGTGTAATATCTCCTAAGTAAAATTCATATAACAGAGTCCTTGGGTTCATCTTAATCACATTACACAAAACTGAAATTGCACGTCAAAATAACACATTGTCAATATCTTTTGTAAATGTGTAAAAAAAAAAAAAAAAAAAGCATTTTCGATGAACTAATTTGATTTAACAGTTTTAGCAGACATTTTCTTTAGAAATTTCTCTCTATGCATCTGCCTAGATCAAGGTTTTTCAATCAGAGGTCCATGGATCTTCACTTCCATTTGCCTCTTTGTTACTTTCTCACAGCTGATCACTGTCCTGATCCTGGAGTTCCCCCTGGTAGCAGTCATACAGGCAACATGTTCAACATTAACAACCAAGTCTTTTACCACTGTACACTCTTAAAAAATAAAGGTGCTTAAAAAGGTTCTTCACAGCGATGCCATAGAAGAACCATTTTTGGTTCCACAAAGAACCATTGAGTCAAAGGTTCGTTAATAACCATCTCTTTCTTACCTTTTTATAATCTGAAGAACCTTCTTTTGCTACAAAGAACCTTTTGTGAAACAGAAAGGTTCTTCAGATGTTAAAGGTTCTTTATGGAACCATTTAGACAAAAAAGGTTCTTCTATGGCATCGTGAAGCACCTTTATTTTTAAGATTGACCTTGATTGGTTCCAAGGTGCGAGAGTGTCAGGATAGTGGCCAGTGGTCAGCAGCAGAGCCACAATGTTATGGTGAATAACATCGGAGTTCCAAAATCACATGCTTTATATGGACTTGTGTTCTCAAAAATAAGATGTTGCGCATAAGGTTTTGCTAATGAAAAGAGACTTTTCTGGATAATACACCTATAACGTTGTTGTGTAAATATCGTACAGCTGATTTCACATATGACACCCCAGAGGAAGCATCAGAAGCTTTCAGCAGTTCTCTAAAGTCAAATCTTGGGGTTTCTCAAGAGTATGAAGGAGAAGGTACCATTACTCATTTTAATGCTCAGAAAAAACAAATCATAAATCATATCAACACATTTAAACATGAATGCTGTGTTCCTTCTGTCTTCAGATCAGCATGGGAAGAAAATAACTATGGATAAGGGTGGAAAAATTGATATCTATATTGGTGTGGATGTATCAGACAAAGATAAGGAAGATTTTGACAAGGCAAAAAATATCATTAAAACTCTTATAGACCAGGTATGTCAATTGTCAAATAATTTGTGGGAACACATGACCCTCAGGTGTTGCTGTAGTGAAGTTGTACGACCATTTATTTTGGCATGTTTTTATACTGCAGCCTTTCTAAAATTGTTCTAAAAGTAGTCATTTAATTGCTGATAATTTTGATGTTTAAGGTTTTGTAACATAAAATGCTGGTATTTTAGATCCTCTCAAGAATGAACTTGACTTTTAACCTCCACACCCTTGTTGAAAGCATTAGCATGTTTCAAGAGGGGACTTGAACTATCACTGTATTTTACAAACACACTGAATGTGTTCATACCCTCATACTCAACATTAACTGAATTGAAATCCAGCATTTTGATTGGATAACAGTCAGATTTCCAATTCTGAATGCTTAATGCTCTTTCCCAAAAGATTAGCTATTACAAGGTCTCCCCAAACTATGAGATCCTGATGTTTGATACGGACGTTACACGGATGATCTCTTTGAGGGACTTCAAAAGTAATGAATTTTCAAGAAACCTAACAAAGGTTTTTGAAGATCTGGACAATTTTAATTATGATGGTAAGCATTCTGTTTGTGTGGCTCTGAGTCTTATTATTGATCCAATCAAATTTAGAGATTATTATAAAATATAATATGCAAAAATTACATACATAAATACATTTAAGGGTACAGCAGATTGTCACAGACGCAGTACTCTCATAGGCATCCTTTTTGTACTGATATACTCCCTTTAGGTACGATTAGACACACTAAGAAATAAGCTACAAAAGTGTTCCTTTTGGTAGTTCTTCCCAAGTGACAAGTTGTTGTACCTCATATACAGTATCTATACATTGATTAGCTTGTTCGGGTGTGTTTGATTATGGTTGGAGCTAAACTCTGCAGGGCAGCGGCTCTCTAGGACTGAACTTGCCTACCCCTGGACTTACTTGAGGGAAGTACATTGCTTTCATTGTAAGTACATTACGTACATTTTTCATGGCAGTCCAATAGAGAAAAAATGAAACATTGTATATTTTTCTTATTATTATTCTTTTAATTTCTTAATTAATGTTCTAAATTCAATTCCTTTTAATTTGGAATCTGCTGATTCAAATTTTTTGTGTGTGTGTGTGTTTTTGTAAATAACAGATCAAACAATACTAATATCGCCAAACTCTATTGGAACATTTTACTCAGCATGCAAATAGAGGAGCTCTACAATCCAACAGCCTTCCTTGAGACCCAACATATCGTCATCGTATTCACTGATGGTATTGACTCCTATGTATGTATATGTGTGTGTGTGTGTGTGTGTGTGTGTGTGTATGTGTGTGTGTGTGTGT